TGAGCCTTAGTTTTTTTCCTTTCCTTTCCTTTCCTTTCCTTTTCTTTCTTTCTTTTTTTGTCTTCTATCTATGTCATTGATGTTTCTGGATTGCTGACTTCTGCAGCACCCAGTCCAGGATATATAAAATGAAAACCAAACCCATATAACTTATTCCTGTGTTCTTTCCTCAGACTTCAAGTTCTCTAGTTAATCTGCTTTCTCTCCACTTTCTGGGGTTTACATTGGCTTTATGCATAGTGGCCAGGGGTTTTATCAGTACTTAGCAAGAATAGGAAGAAATGTATCTATCCCATCTTCTTCTATAACTGGAAATCTGACAATGTGCTTTTAAATGGCCATTTTCCCTCTAAAAACACGAAATTTTATCATGTCTCCACCTTCTTAAAACCCTATATAAGCAACCAATTGTCAAAAGGATAAAATTCCAGCCCCTTAATTAAGAATCTTCACTATTGGCTAGGCGCCTGTGGCTCAAGCGGCTAAGGCGCCAGCCACATACACCTAAGGTGGCAGGTTCAAATCCAGCCTGGACCCGCCAAACAACAATGACAGCTGCAACCAAAAAAAAAATAGCCAGGCGTTGTGGCGGGTGCCTGTGGTCCCAGCTACTTAGGAGGCTGAGGCAGGAGACTCGCTTGAGTCCAGGAGTTGGAGGTTGCTGTGAGCTGTGAAGCCACAGCACTCTACCCAGGAGGATAGCTTGAGGCTCTGTCTCAAAAAAAACAAAAAAGAATCTTCACTATTTCACCACAAGTAAAAATAGTCATATCTTCTGCAGCTACCCACTGTGCACATGTACTCACCAGTTGCAGACTTGCTCAGGTACCATCTCATCCCCACACTTGCTTGTTCATGGTCCTTGTTCTGCACATGGCGAGGCTACATGCAGTCTGCTGGTCCCACCTTTCCCTTCTCCACAGCCATGCACTTGGCTTTCCTTCAAACCTGGTTCTTATATTACTTAACAGTGAAGTCTTCTTAGCCTTAAAATTATTTGATCCCTTCTTGGTGCTGCCATAGCAGTGCGAACATAACCTTGACAACTTATTTCTTTGAGTTGATCTCTTCTACCAGCGGTCTTCTACCCATTTCTGTTCCATTCACTGTAAATTCTTTGACATTAAGGACTGTGCCTGCTTTATTTGTCAGTGTATCTTTAGCACATAGCACTGTGCCTGGCACACACTTGGCACTCAACAAATGTTTATTAAATGAATAGATGACTAGTTACTTTCAGCTACTACAGCAACCAAAAATTGTCCATAGCTGTGTGACAAGGCTCACTTTTATCATTACTTTATATTCCTTTTCATTTTTCCTCTAAATGAAGTGACTTTGGACAAGTATAATGATAATTTAGTCACTTTTGCATCCCGCTCCCTCCTTCCTAAGGACTTCTAGCTTCCAGATTGTTTTTATAAATACCTGCTGCCACCATTGGCATCCTAAATAGTATGGCCATTTGAGAGTAGGGCTTTCGTATTGGGTGATATGGTCCCCAAAGCTCATTCAATCTCATCTTTACTAGACTGAAGCCCCTACTTTTGACTAGTTACATCAGAGCAGGGACGTTCTTTGCTAAGCATCCCACATTGTTGGCTATTATTGAATAAAACTGTTCAGGATATATGATCACCTTGCTTATCTATCTTTTGACTGTGTTGGCTGGAAGGAACACTTGGGTAGCTCCCAGCTACTTGGTGGCACACCACAATAGCCATACTACCATGAGGGCATATCCTTAAGGCTATTTAGGGCCTTTTAGACAAGGAAACAAATGTTCTCCCTATTTTTTTCAAAAGGACAGAAGGATCTGAGGGCTTGAAAAAGCCTGTAAGGACAAATGCCATATGAACAAGCCTAGAGCCACCAGAACCCCCCAATTTACTACATGCTCAAGTGTCACTCTTTGAACACATTTCTCTCCTCCTACTTCTGTCTTACTAAACAGGGAACAACATAATTTTTTGGCCTTGAATGAAGGGGTAGAAGTTGGGATATTAGGAGAAATTATGATTATCTAAATTATTCAGTCTTTTAAAAGATTCAATTTCCTAATTGACCTTTCAATTGAGAAGCAGAGTAGTGTAGTGAAAAGAATACAGGCTTGGAGTCAAAGCCAATTCTGGCTCAGATGGTTACCACCTCTCCGAATCTCAGTTCCTTTGTCTGTCTTGCAGAGTTGCTGTAAGAATTTGCTTGCTGGCTCGGCGCCTATAGCTCAACCGGCTAAGGCGCCAGCCACGTACACCTAAGGTGGCGGGTTCGAATCCCCAGCCCGGACCCGCCAAAACAACAATGACGGCTGCAACCAAAAAATAGCCAGGCGTTGTGGCGGGCGCCTGTGGTCCCAGCTGCTTGGGAGGCAGAGGCAGGAGACTCGCTTGAGCCCAGGAGTTGGAGGTTGCTGTGAGCTGTAATGCCATGGCACTCTGCCCAGGGGGACAGCTTGAGGCACTGTCTCAAAAAAAAAAAAAAAAAAAAGAATTTGCTTGCTGCCTGACCATATTAAGTAGTTTTGGTGAGTGCAACAATTATGCTGCATGAGCTTATATAATATTGAGATTAGATATTGACTATAGCTGAAAGAATCCAACAGCCATAATAAACAAGAAAAAAATAAGGGGTCAAAGGATCAGAGTCATTAAAAAGGATCAACAAGTTTAACAGAACATGTATGACCAGCAAAATCCTTAATATTATGTATTTTTGTGTGTATATCTGTGTATGTACATATACACAATTTATCTCAATGAGTTACTGTAAGCATTGTGATAACACACATTGAATAATTTGTGGTTGACAAGGATGTATACATGGCTAGAGTAAAGTGTCACAAAAATAAAATAAGCTATTATTATTTTAAATACTCCAGATACTGAAATCTCACTAAGAAGAGCATTTTTGACAAATTGTAAGGCTATTAATATAAGAAGTGAGGATCTTTTCCTTCAGATATTGGTTCAGTAGCTCCTCCTTGCCCTCCTGTTTCCTTCAAACAGAGGGCATTTCCTGCAGGGTTTGAGGGGGTCCTGTGTGGACAGGTGCAGACAGTAAGACACTGTGAGAAGGTGAGTCGAGAGCAGTAAGGCCGTGTGGCCAAGTGGAAGGACTACTGAGCCATAATATCCCTCTTTGTCACTCTCTCAAGCAACAGGGAGCAAAGAGGTGACCCAGCTCACCTGCAGGAGCAAGTGAGGAAGAGTTCCAGCATTGGTAGGAGTGTTTCTGCTGCCATCCTGGCCCCTGAACAGGGGTGCATGGCTGGAATGCACCCTAGGAGTAGTGGGGACAAGGCAAAGACTGTTTTGGGACTGGCCTTGCTCCCAGCTACTCAGTGGTACACTATAACAGCCATACTGCCATGAGGGCATATCCTCATTGTCTTTCTGGAAGTTCTAGCACCAGGCAAGCATGGCCCCCTGAGAGGCAGGAACACAGCTTCTCCAGAGTGAAGAAGGAAAATGAGCAGTAGTGACAGTCCTTGACTTCTGTCTGAAATGGAAAGACAGGTGCCCCACCCTCCTGAAGTCTGCCTAGCACCTGGAAGCTCTGGAGATGGTCTCTTCCATTCCTCTGATGGTGTCCACCTAGTCCTCCTATGGAGCATCATGGAACTTCAGCTGCCTTGGTCCATTTTTGTTCCAAGTTTATAAACTGCCCTTTAGTTCCTTAGAAGTAAGTAGTTCTCTTCCTGTATCAGCTCATCCCTCTAGTTTATTTTCTACCTCTTAAAAGGGGGTACCTGGCACTGTCAACTGCAGAGCTGGTCCTTCATACATTCCGGAACAACAGGTGTCTCCTGGGATGGTGCAAGCAAAGATAGGAAGTCGCCCAACCCAGATGTATAATAGCCACCTAGGAGACTTGTGAGAATTAAATGAATGCACACGGGCACGGTGTGGTGTGATTAGGGATTTGATTAAGGGAGCTGCTGTCAGCAATACTCTTCCTCTGGCGTTTACCTCTCTGCACTCTACTTAATCTACTGATTTGTTCCTCCCTCTTGTCCTTGGCTGGTTGCTCTCTTCATGCCTGCCACTAGACCTATGCCCCTGACTGCCTGGGATTACCAGAGAGTTTAACAACTCTGCTTACCCTCTTTTTTGCTTGACTCCAGGGCTAGTAGCAGCCAAGCTGATTATTCTGGGTCCTAATACTTGTGGTGGAGTTGTCACACCACTTCCCTGACCCTGATCTTGCTCTTAGAGACTAGGCACTCCTAGGAGTTAGGGGCAGGGTGGCGTCAGGGCTGAACACTTGGGTAGCTCCCAGCTACTTGGTGGCACACCACAATAGCCATACTACCATGAGGGCATATCCTTAAGGCTGTTTAGGGCCTTTTAGACAAGGAAACAAATGTTCTCCCTATTTTTTTCAAAAGGACATAAGGACCTGAGGGCTTGAAAAAGCCTGTGAGGACAAATGCCCTGAATACTTCCTTTTCCATCCCTCAATAGTTCACCCTTGGGTTTATACGCAAGGATCTCACAGTATCTCCTTGTATGTGAAAATATGGCCTGAAATCTTGGACTAGCTAGAGGCGGGGAAGTCCCTATGTAGTAACTCCTCCTGGCCCTTCGCTGCCACCTGGCTGCTTGTCTCCAGAAAGTAGAAGGGAGGCCAGTGCCGGAGAAGGGGGAATGGTGGGGTCCTGGCTGGCTCATCCCTGAGCAGCGGGAAGCCTTAGCTTGAGGTTGGAAGGTGTGTTTGGGGCTAAATATGGTCCCTCCCTGAAAAACCCAAAGGCGAACGCGCTCAGATCAGTGTGATGTGGAGGACCACTGGGGCTCTAGCCCCAGTGTCCCAGTTCTGTGTCAGGGCCCACTGTTTCCCAGGATAGGAAGCACTGTGGGGACGGCTGCGGGCGGCCGCGAACGTCACGCAAAGCGGACAATGTCTGGGATAGCTACTTTCATTTCCTCCAAGGGCAGTGAGGCAGAAAGCGCAGGGCAGAAAGAGGAGCCCCAGAAACTGAGCTGGCTGGGGAGGCAAAGCGCAAAAACTCAGGTGCTAGCGAACGGGGCTGGGGATGGCCAGCCAGTTTGCGCTGGGCCGGACCCTGAGGGCGGTCAGGTGGAACTGGGCGGAGGCTGCCGTCCTGGGGCCCGCGGGGCCAGGGCGGGCCGGCCGGCGGGGCATTTAAAACCCGCTGACAGCCGGTCGGGAACACGCGCCCGGCTCTGTGCCCTCCTCCGTCGACTCAGCTTCGGGTACCGGTCGGGCAGGATGCGGTCTTCCCTGGCACCGGGTGTCTGGTTCCTCCGCACCTTCTCCCGGGACAGCTGGTGAGCTGGGCTGGGGGAGGGAGGCGCGCCAGCCGAGCAGCTCCCGGCTGGCCAGGACCGCCGGGGTAGCCTCGGGAGACAGACTAGGTTGGCCCCAGCGTCGCCTCGAGGGTTTGTCAGCATCTAGTCCCGGGTTCCTTCAGCGGCGCCAGCCTGGAAGATTTACAGATACTCCCTGCCTAACTCTGCGGTACCCCCGAACTTTGTGACGCTGGCTCTGTGACACTGCTGAAGAGTAGGCTGCCTGGAAGGGTCCCCATCATTTCCTGTTTGCCAATCTCCCCACTACACACACACACACACACACACACACACACACACCCTGGAGTACCTTAAAAGCACCTCACTTTCCTGGCATTGAGTACCTGGGGGACCTGGACTTGCAGGCTGGGGAACAGAAGAGGGGGGTGGAGGGGGCAGGATAAAAGGTGGCCATCAGGGGACATGAATGTCCTTTTTGGTCTCTTTTACTCTTTGGGTAACACCAAAGTCAGAAGTCCGTGGTCCTGGGAGCTTGCCTTGGGAGTTCCAGCCCGGAGAGACACCCCTGGAAAGGGCATGCCTCCCCGAAGCCGAGCTGCAGCTGCTCCACATCTCCCCCAACTGTGGGCAGCTGGCTTCCCCAGTTCTCCTCCCCGCCACAGCGGATGGTGGGTGGAGATATTTCAGCTGACTCCGTCAGAGGCAGTCAAATGTTGGAGCAGGGTTTTTTTGTTTGTTTGTTTGCTCACTTTTAAAATACTGTATTAGCTGCCATCATTTACAAATTATAAATTTTAACAAAAATAGATGCCTATCTTCTCTTGAAAATAGATGATGTAGCAATCTCGGACCTAAATTTCCAAAGTAAATTAATAAGAATGAAAAGTCCCCTTTAGATCACCCCTTTTAGATCACCAACTTGTCCTGGTTGAAACAGAAAGTCTTTTGTCCCCAACCCTCTCAGTCCTGCTCTAGGCACTTTTCAGCAGGTGACAGTTCTCACAGCCTTCTTTACTCATATCAATTACTTACCTGGTCTTTTTTGATTTGGGGATTGTTAAAAAATATTTTTTCAGAAAAAGATTAAAATCATGACTCTCATTAAGGGTATAAAAATTAATATGTGTTAAAGATTTTATTTTACTCATCATGAAGGAATCAGATGTTGTAATCAATTCAAAAGAGAATCCAGAGGAGGAAAAGGGGGGGTTGGGAGGAGGGGGAGATGAAAACAATTCTGGAGTTGGATGGTGGAAATGGCTGCACCATAGTGTGAATGTCTTCATTACCACCAAACTGTATTCTTTAAAATGACTCAGTGCTAAACATATGGTGTATGTATTTCACCACAGTTTAAGACTCTGCCCAGGACTGCTGCACATTTTGCACCACAGGGTTTCCTAACATTTTGTGCCATGGTCACTTTGAGTGGTTTGGTGAAGCCCATGTACTGATTTTAAGAATAAATAGTATTGGTAAGGGCAGAAAGAAAATAAATAGGATTATGAAGAAAGAATAAAATAAAAAGAGGATCTAAAGAACATACTCATTTATATATAGATTAGGAATATTGAGGTCAAACTGGTTTTTCCACAGGTTAGGAGAGAAGACTACTGAAACTATCTTCATAGACATATTTTCCATGACTCATAAGTTACCTACCACCTTGAAGAATTATAAAGTAGATCAAGGTGAATAAAAGGCTAGAATATGATAACCTGTCTACAGCTTTGGGGTCACATGTGGCTCTCTGGGTCCTTTAGTGCAGCCTTTTGACTAAATCCAAATTTTGCAGTACAAATCTTTTTTAATAAATAGTCTCCTAGGAAGATTATTCTTGATCACAAAATAAATCTAGTCTCATTAGATATATGATTATTTACATAGGTACACCAAGATGTTAGTTTACCTTATAGGCCTTATTAAGTTTGTTTTGCTGGAAATTTTCTTAAGGAATCTTAGCTTTTTGTTTGTTTGTTTGTTTGGGGTGTTTTTTTTTTTTTTTTTGCAGTTTTTGGCTGGGACTGGCTTAGAACCTCCAGCATATGGGGCTGGTGCCCTACTCCTTGAGCCACAGGCGCTGCCTGAATCTTAGATTTTTAAAAGCCTTTAACTATTTATTGTCCTGAGATTAGGAAGCCCAAGCCGAGAAACTGTCTCCCTCAGGTTTAACCTGATATACCTATAAATTTTGGGCAAATTCCTTTCTTCTCAAGGTCTCAAATATCCTATGTTTTCTGGCCTGGCCAGGGAGTTACCTTCCTTTTTGCCTATAAAACTGAGAACCCACTAGCCAGTCTTCTTGGGAGGGTTCTATTAGTATTAGCTCCATACAATGAATTCCTTAAAGTTCCTTAAAAGGGGCTGGATACATCTGATTAAATGGGCATTCTGATCAAAAACAACATTCCAGGAAAGGCCTCAGTTATATAACTTAATTTTTGTAATTATGTCATAGTAAAAAAGAGGACAAATTCTTTTTTTTTTTTTTTTTAGACGGAGCCTCAAGCTATCCCCCTGGGTAGAGTGCCATGGCATCACGCTCACAGCAACCTCCAACTCCTGGGCTCAAGCGAGTCTCCTACCTCAGCCTCCCAAGTAGCTGGGACTACAGGCGCCCGCCACAACGCCCGGCCATTTTTTGGTTGCAGCCATCATTGTTGTTTGGCAGGCCCGGGCTGGGGATTCGAACTCGCCACCTTAGGTGTATGTGGCTGGCGCCTTAGCCTCTTGAGCCACAGGCGCCGAGCCAAGAGGACAAATTCTTATTGAACCTATGCGAATAATCATATTGCCATGTAAAGCAAGACACTGGGTAAGAGTTTCTGAATTCTGAGAAGTCATATAGGGAGAATTAAGTATTTATAAACATTGCATTTCAGTTTACAAAAGCAGAGTCTACAAATTGTTATGTCTTAATATATATAGCCTAAGAAGAAAGGGAAAGTTCTTCCTTATATATATCCAAAAATACTGCACTGTAACAACATCAACAACATTTTAAAGGGTAGTCATTCTTTATCAGTTCGTTTGGTCTTATGGGATTAGTTCTGTTCCTCTGAATCTCAAGGGTTAACAATCTCAAAAACCCATCTGCTTCTTGACTAAAGAGTTCTGGAACTCCTGACTCAAACTACCAGCAAGTGTTCAAAGTGTCTAAGTGGTACCATGAGCAGTATGTACCCAAGAGTGACTGTAATCAGCTATAGAACAAAGCAGTACGGGGTTTTTCTGAGACAGTTCTTGGTTGTTAAAGATTAAAACTCTGGCGTGTCAGGTCCAGTGGAGCACCAATAGTTCCACCTACTTGGGAGTCCGAGGCAGGAGGATTGCTTGAGCCTGGGAGTTCAGAACTATAGTGTGTTATGCTGTGATCACCCCTGTGAATAATAGCCACTGCACTGGGCAGCATAATGAGACCCCCATCTCAAAAAATACATAAAATAAAATTTTATTCTATAATTGATTGCAGGAAGCAACAGAGTAAAATTAAAACTATCTATGGTGACAGATACTTAAAAAGTGCTGATTAACTTACTACTGATAATTTCCAAAAGTGAACAATTTGATGCGAATTCATAATAAGAATAATGCAGTTGATAAGGAAATTTGGTTGCCCCTGTGGTATACAAATCAAAAAGAAACCATTCTAAAAATAATTTTGGACAATGTCTAAAAACATAATAAGGCTAATTTCAAAGAAGATAGCAAACATGTGAATTTATAAAAATGGATGAACATAATTTTTACAGAAGGAAAAAAGTTTATTTTGGGTTTTTGTTTATTTATTTGTTTTTTGAGACAGAGTCTCACTCTGTTGCCCTGGGTAGAGTGCCATGGTGTCATCATAACTCACATCAACCTCAAACTCTTGGGCCCAAGTGATCTTGCCTTAGCCTCTCCAGTGGGACTAGAGGCATGCACCATCATGCCTGGCTAGTTTTTTCTATTTAGTAGAGACAGAGTCTTGCTGTTGCTCAGTCAGGCTGGTCTGGAACTCCTAAGCTCCAGCAATCCTCCTGCCCAAGCCTCCTGAGTAGCTAGAACTACAGGCATCCATCACAATGCCTGGCTAATTTTTCTATTTTTAGTAGAGACCAGGTCTCACTCTTGCTCAGGCTGGTCTCAAACTCCTGAACTCAAGCAATCTACCCACTTTGGCCTCCCAGAGTGCTAGGATTACAGGTGTGAGCCACCTTGCGGGGCTCACAGTGGGGAGCTCTCCCTCAGGGGGGAGATACAGCACATAAAAACCCTGAGACACAGTTGACATAATACAGTCTACCAAGACTATCAACTAAAGAGATTCAGTAAGTCTGGAATTAATCCTTGAAAACCAATGGCCTTGAAAGATGGTAGATTGAAATTTCAGAAGTTGCAGCCCTGTAACATTTTAAATCACAACTGAAATAATGATTGCTAACACTATACTGTTGTCACCAGGCGAATCACTAGCAGGGTGCTGAAAAACAAAACATGTCACTGCCAGAGAAGGCCCTGGGAAATCTGTGCAACTTCTCGGACAGCATGGCATTTCTGGAATACTTATATTATATAAATAATGACATTTACCTATATAAATTTAAACTGGAGAAGGCTATCTCTTCTGATTTGACAGTTGTCTCATGTAGTAATAACATATCAAATACACCAAAATTATTCCTAATATCTCTTTTTTAAAGAAGAAATCTTCATCATTTTCTAGGTGCTCTCCTTTTTAAAAATACTATGAAATAACTCACCTAAACTGAGCCAGCTTTGGGAAAATGTTAACACTTAATGGCTTATTTTCACACTCATTATGTGCATATACTGTGATCCAAGCAAATCCAATTCCCTTTCCACAAATCTTTTACAAATTTGTTGAGTAGGTTTTGTCTTTCACTGTCCTCTTTTTCATTTCACCAGCCACTTCATTTAGGATGAAACTTTGTCTGCTTAATAAACAAAAACACATTTATCACTATGTGCTCAAAAGTCAGACCTCTCTGCCGCTTGTTCCTTGAAAAGTCTCCTTT